AGTATAGTATGGCAGAAAAATGCCAAAAACGTCAAAGTATAGTATGGCATAAAATGTCAAAAAAACATCATAGTATATTAAGGCATAAAATGTCATAAAAACGTCATAGTATGTGAAGGTATGAGAGGAAATAATATAACTAGGCATAAAAATGCAAAAAAAACATCAAAGTATAGTATGGCAGAAAAATGCCAAAAACGTCATAGTATAGTATACAAAAAATTTCAAAAAAACATCATAGTATATTAAGGCATAAAAGGTCATAAAAATGTCATAGTATGGTCAGGCATCATACAAGATAGTATAGTAAGGCATAAAAATGCCAAAAAACATCTGAGTATAGTATGGCATAAAAATGCCAAAAAAGTCATAGTATAGTATGGCATAAAATGTTAAAAAAAACGTCATAGTATATTAAGGCATAAAAGGTCATAAAAACATCATAGTATGTGAAGGTATGAGACGAAATAATATAATTAGGCATAAAATTTCCAAAAAACATCTAAGTATAGTATGGGAGAAGAATGACAAAAACGTCATAGTATAGTAAGGCATAAGAACTCATAAAAACATCATATTGTAGTAAGGCACAAAAAGTGTATGAATGTAGTTGAGAGCTTCAAAAAGGAAGTAAGTGGCCCCTTAAGCTTAGATTACATATACTGTGTCAAAGGGTAAATTACACTCAAAAAAATGACAAACGCAATCATCTGATAATTTTAAACATTCTTTTATTAACTTTCTCTTTTTAAACACAACTAACTCATTTAATAAACATTCTTCTATTCAATTTTAACAGTCCAAATACAAATGGATGAACACAGCGAGGGAGAAAAAAGAACCATACAGTATGTACACAATAAAACACAACAGTACTCTGTGGTGAGAAGAGCACTCAAGGTAAAGCAGACATCAGTCAAACATATTTAACTTCATACTCTGATTTAGTACCTTGAAAAATAAGTGTCTCATACAAACTTGTATAAAAAATAATAATCAAGCCAATTTGTGAGGACTACTTAAGCATGTTATGTACCTAGTACAAAATTAAATAACAATAAAATAACAGTACATATTGGCATGAGGACATAATGTGACTACACAAATAGATTTATAAATAAACAGGGAAGAAACTATACTTTTAATAATCTCAAAATAACAACAAAGGATATTATTTAACCTGTAGGGTTTCAACAGAAAAAACAATCCTCAGTTCACATTATTCAACCACACAAATCCATTCACTTTTCTGACTGAACCACCAGGGGGCAGCACAACCACACTCATTTTCTACATTAGCAGGTAGAGCAGGAACAAAAGGGAGAGTATGAATGTTAGCCCACAGTCTGGTTCACCTGAACCACAGCAGAGGGCTATTTCAACACAGATTATCAGGGACAACAGGAAACACACATCATCACACCTTCCATTTAAGCTCACTGCTGAGGGGCCTCGGTGTGCCTCAAACAAAGCGCTTGTCAGAGCATCTAACAGCATCATAAGCCCCAGCTCCTACTTCGGAAAGATGCTGTTCAGAAGAGAAATACTTTGGTTGATGCTGACTTTGTTTGACGCACACTGAGGCCGAGAGGGGGTCAAAGACAAACAACAAGGTAGTGTTGCTTCCTGCTTAAGAAAAACACCTTTATACAACACAAATAAACAAAACAAAAAAAACTCAGTTACATCTTTAAAATGCAGCCAGTGCATTTTCTCTTAAACGTCACAATTAACATGAGGCGTAAGATACTCAGGTATCGTACAAAGGAAAGAGACGAAACCAAACTACAAATAATGGCTAGCTTAATGATGAACAACAGTGTTGCGGGTTAAGGTTCGACTTCTCTGTACAGAGTGCTGGCTTGTGGAACCAGAGGGAGAGAGAGAGAGAGTAGCGTTTCTGTTACGTTAGCCAACCAGCAGCTAACTTTGTAGTTTCAGTGGAAAAAATGGGTTGAAAACTGGTGCAGGGTGGGGGATGGGGGACAAACCCCAACGATTCTGGGTGAAATGCTTCGGACAAGAAAAAGCACCTCCCTTGGCTTTTATCATGAAGGTTTGTGGCGGTTCTTTTTTTTTAAAAAAAGACTCTACAAAGTCATACAAAGAGATGAAAAAAACAGCTGTCCTGAAATATACAGCACAAAGAGCAAAGAGGGTAAGGAAAAGCAGAGCTTCATAGAAATCTGAAGCTGGAGGGAACACCAAAAGGTCCTCGCCAGCCAAAGTAGAGATTGTCATTTCCCTTCCAACACAGGGATACTTGGTTCGGACAACAGCGGCGCTGAGCAGGGCACGGCTAGCTTGTCAGGGGTTTGTCTTCACTCTGGTTTCTTCAGTTTATAAATTTTAGACCCTGCTTAGCAGAGTGGATCTGTGGAGACAGGAAAGAAACAGGTTAGCATCATGAGATAAACCTGAGAGTTACAAAGATCTCACAGCCTGTAGACCTCTACTAAAGCCGCTAGTCACTTGACGAATGTTTCGATTTTTTAGCACAAATTTGCCAACTTTTTAACTTTTTAGATGGATAATGTTCAGATTTAACTTTTTCAATTTAGAAAAAGTAAAACTTTTGCTGCAAAAATTGTGAAAAAGTGTTACAATTGTTGAGCAAACTTAAAAGAAATTAATTGATGAATATACTATAGAAATACCGTAGTTTATCTAAGTGAATATCAACAACTTTAATGGAGGTTTGTTTGCTGATCTGTAAAAGCATTTAAGATTTGGTTACAATTTAAGTTGGGTTTGAAACTCATATATATATATATATATATATATATATAGATCTTATATAGATCTTATCATCTTTTCCCTCCAGTGAGAATATTTAAAGAAAGTCAAAGTTGGTGGATATTTTAGTTAAAAACTGTGACTTTAAAAAGTAGAATGTGAGTTGCAGCAACAGTTTGTCTTCAGTGGATTTTGGAGGGGTGGGGGATGAGGGTGATGTGTGTAGAGAGACAGTCTGTGCTGAGCAGACTTTCTCCAAGGCGAGCGGCCCGTTCTGCTGACACGGCTCGGATGGAATAAAGTGACAGATCGTGTCGCAGTGGAGGCAAAGCTCGGGGGGGGGGGGCCTGGCAGGAGGCGATCAGGTAAACGTGATATCTTCACACACACACACACACACACACACACACAGAGCTGAGTGGATTCTCCCTGGCTGGGCTTCACCCAACACTCACAAGGATCTGGATCCAAAACCTGCTCTCACCTCTGACCCCGGCCAACAGATCTGATTCATGTGGGTGGTCGGGGTTGTGTGGGGTCAGTTTTTGGCAGCCTGCAGCCTGAGTGTCAGCTCTGAATCATGTGCTCACTGTCCATAAATACTGGCTGTATTTTTACATGACTGTCTCATGCATTTTGGTTCTTTTTAGATTCAAGTCTTTCTTAAAAAAACAACAAAAAAAAAGTTTCAGCTTTGCTCATGGATTTATAGACTGAAGATACATGTTTTATGTTTCAAGCTTCGTTAATTTATATATTTTTTGTCCACTCGGCAGAAGAGCTGACAGACACAGCCCTGACATGTAAGTATAGATCACTTATTAGAAAACTGTTGCCTATCACATCACAGCATTCACCTGCAGTGGTGTTTGTGTCCACCTGATGATTGTAAGTCACATTTCTGCTCTATTCTTATCTCCGTTTTGGTGGCTAGCTTTTATATTGCTACTCAACAATCCCATAAACCACTAAATCTTAATTTGAAACTTTTTATTTATCAGCTTTAGTTTTCAACTACTCTTCGTGGCTGTTACTCCGCAGCTCTTTACATGTTTGGCCATCAAAACATTTATTATTGAGTTTAAAAAACTAAAAGCTTTTAATGGCAGTGATAGGACCATGTTAGTACATGTGATCTAGAGCTCTGGAGAAACTGAACGTCCCCGACTCAGTTTGTGTCAATTAAACTTCAGCGTATGATGCTGAAGCGAGAGGAAATATCCCTGTCAGCTCTCTGGGGTTTTCTTCACTGAGTTAGAGGCGACTAAACAAAAGACAATTTTCTCTCAACACACACACACACACACACACACACACACACACACACACACACACGCAGGGTGCTGTGTGATGAGGGGGTATGGTGTGTTTTGTGTGCCTAAGATGTAATTGTGTGAAAATGACTGATGTGCTTTGCGTGTGTCTACACAAGCGGTGATGTGACCAAGAAGAATGATGAGCGCCTGAGTGTGTGTGTGTGTGTTTGAAGCATTAATTGAATAGCGTGCAGGTCAGCACCGGAGGGTGACCTACATCCCTCTGGGTGAGCCTGGTCAGCGGGGAGGGAGGAGAAGATGAGGGGTGACAGCCGTGATTGAAAGACTCAAAACCCCTGAGGGTGAGTGTGTGAAGAGGGAGAAGGGGGGAGGTTCATACACACCTCAGAGACTTCCATCTGTCCTTCTCCATGTTGTTCTCAGGACCTTCGCTCTCGTATGAAGCCAGATACAACGCTGCAATGAGAAACATCAAAGAATCATTAGCTTTTTAAAGACTTAACAATTACTGCATCTTGTCGGCATTAAGTGGTGCTGATCTTATTACTGGTCCCTTCACTTACAGTTAAAGCTTATAATAACCAGGGCTCTGGCTCACATTGCCAGTGTATTTAATTTTTCTTCCCATTTTTCCCCTCACTTTCCATCACTGAAAGTATTTTCTGTGATTAAATGTGTTCATCCAATATTTTGGAGCAGTGGGGACAAAAAAACCCTCATTTTAGACTGTTCTGATCTGATCTCTTCTTTTTAATCTGATTATTTATCCAAGGGAATCGATCCATGAACATAAAAGACACACATTCATAAGATGCTCCATTAGTTCTATTGAAATAATGGCCAGTTCTTTTATATGTTAACTGGTACATATAGGTTTCATTTTTACAGTAAACCTTACAAACTGAGGTTCTAGTTTCTGAACATTTATTTAGCATTAGCCAGCACGGATCTTTGTGGTGACATTTACATGATGCAGCAGACGCTGGTCCTGCCTCAGCTCCTGTACAGTTTATTTTAGTCATCTTAGCTGCTGATCTGCTTTTTCATTTTCTTTTCCTCCAGTAAAAAAACAGCACAATCAGTGTTTTTCTCGCTCCTTTTCCATCCTCACTCATTATGAGTGGTCACCCCTGTGCTCTCTGTATTGACTGGCGAAGAAAAATATTCTTGAAGAAAATCCAACAAAGAAGCACAAAAAAAAACAAAAAAAAACTGATGCGTCAGTTGAATCAAACTTTGTTTGGAGCCTAAAAGCAGTTTTAAAACGTTTCTACACGTTTCAAATATCAGACCCAATTCAAATCAACCCGCCTCCCCTCGTGTGCAGCAAAGTGCAGACTCTCTGCATTAATGCACAGACTGGTTGACAGGAGGATGTTCACTATCACCCGACACTGCCACCCATGGATAGGAAGCGCTCACAGCTGATTGGTCAGTTGAGCCAGATTGAACAGAGCTCCCTGCCTCTCTCTGATAAGACGGTGATAAGAGCCGGAGCCAGTGACACGAGACTTTGATGTGGATTGAAGACGACCAAAACTACCAGCGCTGCTCGAGTGTGAGAGGTGATAACAAAGTAGGTAGGTGTGTGTGTGTGTGTGTGTGTGTGTGGGGGGATTTGAGGCTCATTCTGTTGTCTGCTATATTTTAACCAGGGACATTGAACATCACTATGGTTTCTGTTGTAATTTATATCTAACAACATTATGCCTCAACCCTCACCTGTACTCTACTTTGACAGAAATCAGCCGTTTCGATTTTACAGGATTCAAAAGGGACTTGATTTCTTCCACAAATCTGGATTACAAGGTTTCATGTGTCTCCTGTGTTGTTTTCATTGTAAATAAAGACATCAAATCCACATGATTGTAAATTATGTTTGACATGCTTGTTGAAAACGTAATTAAGTTTGACTTAAAACCCCTAAATGACCAGAAATCTTGGTGTGCTCGTCATAATAACAGTAGTGTGGCTGAGCATTTACTATTATGATGAAGTTACCATGTTAATGAGCTTGTACGTTTGCTAAATACGCCAGTTTTCTCTTTTTATCACCTTTAGTCTGAAAGGAATAGTTTGGCATCTTGGGATATATGATTATTTAGTCTCTTGCTAATTGAATATGAGGCTAACATCAGCAGCCAGTTAGCCTAGCTTACCATGAAGAGTGGTAGCTAGCTTAGCTCTGTCCAAAGATTAAAATAAATCCATAACTTGTTATTTTTACACTTCAAATAAGATATTAACTGTGAATATGTTTAGTTTTAAAGATGTTGGTAAGCATGTAACTTTGTAGAGAGTCAAGCTGACTGTTTCCCCTGTCTTCCAATCTTTAAACTAAATTAAGCTAATTGGCTGCTAGCTGTAGCTTCATATTCAGCGTACAGAGATTACACTTTGCCTTCTTGGCCAGAAACAGAATTTAAGCTCAGTTTTCCAAAATGTCAAACTATTTCTTTAATAGGCGTTAAGATCCCCCGTCATTCATTTATTCATTCATTCATTTAGAAACTCACCGTCCTCAGTGAACACTGGAGCGGTCAGCAGGTACTGCAGGATCTTGCGATCCTTCTCAAACGGACACTCCACTTTCTTCCAGGTCATGAATTCACTCACTTGTTTGGCGAGTTCCCAGAATTTCTGAAATGAAAACAAAAACAAACAACAAAAAAAAAAGGTTAATAAGGAATGAACATGTTTTACACTACACAATATACTGTATGCATAGTTGACTATTACTTCTTTACCATCTGGCTGATTGTTTGGAGCATGGGTATCATTTTTTAATACTACTGCCTTTGAGCAAGTTATATAACCATGCATGGCTCCACTGCACTACACTGCGGTCTGAAGTGGTGATTTGTTCCTATGTAGAACATGGTTACAGAAAAAGGTTCAGCAGTTTCCCAGGATAAAATAAATACTTAATATAGTGTGTGATTCAGTGGAGCTGTGAGCAAAGACCAGTGGAAATACTTATGAGACTCTGGTCACTGGTCAGTGTGTTTGTTCCATGGAAACACAGCTAAACTACAAGCACAATTCTTACTTCTTCATTCTAAGCACTCTTTAGGGAAGTGGAAACAAATGGCACCGAATCCATTGCCTTGTGTAGTAACTACAGTGACGTCCGCTGACACGACAAGTCGGCTGTAGGTGGGGGTGAGGGTAGGGAGGAGAAAACCTGGTGTAAACGGTTGCCAGGGAAACTCCCTGTGGGTGATTTAAAAATTCAATTCACCTCAAAGTTGACGTGTCCGTTCTGCAGCCTGTTGGCACATCCCTCGTTGAGGAAGTAGATGTCTTTTATGAGCAGGCTGAAGAAAGGGATGACAATCTGCAAGACAAGAGAAAGAGAAAAGAGATTTAATTTCACTGAGAAGATGTGAGGGGGGGGGGGGGGTTTNATTTCCACATGATAGCTGGCGTGTGATCTCTGTAAACATCGATTCAAAAGGGAAAGAGATTACAATTGACAAAGGGGATTTATTACGAAACAGACCCAGTAATGAAAAGGACACATTTTCATTAAAAGAAATCCACTAACTTTCCCTTCTGACCGGCTTGTTGCAGCGTGCAGAAACACAACCTTCATTACTACAGAACTTTCCCAGGACAAATTCCTCCAACCAAAAACGGAGAAGTGAAACTGGAGTAAAAGAGGTTTTCCAGAGAAGAATTATTCCCCTGTAAATTCCCTTTAAATAATTCATTGTCACCTTCATACAATGATGCAGGTCACTGCATGTTCAGCTTAGATACAGCAGGGTGGGGGAGAAGCACCAGACTCCATTCAAATAACGATAAATATGAAGTTGGTGACATTTTTCTTCTTCACTGGTATTGAGCCAGACATCAGGACTGGATCTGGTATTTACCAGTTGCTATGGCTGATAAATAAACACAAGACGTGACTCGTTTCTCAGCACACAGAGATGCTTCAGCCTGGCACAGTGACCTATTAAAGTAAACTCAGCCTTTTCAAAAAATGGAAATACCAAAAAGGGGAAAACAGCAGCAGCAGCAGCAGCAGCAGCAGCAGCGCACTGAGCTTCTTATATAAAGCACATTTGTGTTGCTCATTCTGATTGTGTCACAGTTTGTACTTGTATAAACCACCCACTCCCTTCTCCTTATGTTTTTACTTCTTCCCAAAAGATTCGCCAAGTCAATCAATCCAGTCGTCTTTTTTTCTTTAACTGCGTAAAGCTTGTGAAATTCTGCCTCCACAACATCCTCCAAAAAAAAAAAGAAAAGAAAAACTGTTCTGGCTGCAGCTGACAGCAGCTAGTTAACTGAGCCTCAAAGAGGTCTGAACATAATGTACAGCAAGGGGTCTGCAGGGGCAGGATGTTGTTTACAAGGGCATGCATGTATGCATGATCTGAAGGCTGTTGTCATGCGTGCACACACGTCTGTATGTTCATGTTAATGCTGTGAGGGAAGAGGAAGGAAAAAAAATTTAAAAAAAGAAACTGCCCAGCAGGAGCAGGGAGGAAGTTATTTTCACAGCTGGACACACAGGAGTACGAAGGGCCTGGAGCCAGAGGGAGCAAACGTCTGGGTTTACTATAGTGGATGTGTTTATTAAAAGTTTTATTTAGGTGATTATTAATCTATTTATCAAAAGATGTTTTCGTTTTAAGGGTTGACACGAGGTGAACAACAGGAAACTGTGATAATCTTTTGTTTTCACGTAAAATTCACCCATTCCAGCTTCTAGGTAAATAAACAAGCTGCTAACCAAACAAATAATAAAGAAAATAATCAGCAGATTAATCAATAACGGAATTAATCATTAGTTCTAACCCCTAATGTTTTCACTGTCCTGTAAAACTTCAAGATTTTTTATTTTTATTAGTCCTGTTGCCTTGTTTTATTCTAATCATCATCTCGGTCTCTTACTGTTTTATGTTTCCTTTTGTAAAGCACTTGGTAATTACCAGTTTTGCGAAATACACACGTAAAATAAAACCAATACAGGTCAGAAAAAAAGCTCTTCCTTCTTGAAATCTGTAATTTATCATCCAGGTTTGATTAAATCACGCATCAGGAGCAGATCTTTGTGGTATAACTGGACATAAAGTGGAATATTTTGTGCATTATTCTTTGTAAAATGTCTTTACAAGCTGTTGCTACACAGCCAAACAAAGTCTGCTTTAGATCAGCTGTTTGGCATCTGGTTTAAATGTCGAATCAACAGAGCAACTAACTTTCTGATCATTTGAATCTTTGATGGAAGTGAAGCATTAGTTTTGGTTTTGCCTGGAGGAGACCATAAACAGCAGCATGTATCACCCCCCCCCCCTAAAAGGAGAGGTCAGAAGAGCGAGAACATACCAAGACTTCTTGGGAACTTTCCGTTTCACGACCCCGACCCTTTGTCCGGGTGTGTTTGCATTTCTCAGCTCCCAAAAAAACATCCCCTCACAAACCTCAGGGAGCCAGATGCACATTGACAGTACACTCTGTCTCCGTTATTCAGCGTTATGATGACGTGAAGAGAGGCTAACCGCCGAGGCCTGGCAGCCCCACGAGCTCTGCGCTTGTTCAGACTCGGTCAGGGCGGGCAACTCAAGAGGCAGCGGCAGAGAACACTATGTGATCTGGCAGCCGGCCTGTGTTTTCTTTTTCCTTCACAGCTCGTTTGAGGAGGAGGAAACCGAGACCCTCCTCGTATTTTGACCCACTTATAACTCGACCCTGCGTGTCCCCTCTGAGCTCCGCCGTTATGCAACCTCTGTCCCGCTTCCAAGTCCACTCCAGAGGCCGCTGATGGTGTAAACACGACGGGAACGCAGCGTCCAGACGATAACAAGACGCAACAAACGGCAGCGGCTTGTTTTTCTGGCTTCTCCTCAAAATCAACCGCTTCCTCCGTGTTCGCCGTGGCAAGACCGCAGAGATAAAAGGCGACGCGATAACCATCTCAACTTTTTACATAACTGTAATCAGCTCAAAGTGTCTCTGTTGCAGAGGCGTTGCCAACACTTTGTTCAGGGGCAGAGCGCTTATCCTGAAACTGGAAGGTCACAGCAGCTGTCAAGTGGTCTTTAGCAACACACCCAATCCCCGTTATTCACTGTAAGTGGCTCCGGGTGAGACTTTCAGCCAAAAGTATGAAATGTAAACCCAAGTCTGGAGCGCAGACGTTCAAACTGGTGAGGTTTATATGAAAGTTGGCTGCTGGATGTGTCCTACAAAGGAAATGTTTGACTTTTCTAACTCATCCATCTGAAGCTTGACCTGATTTTTTCTTTTTTTTTTTTGTTTCCTCCCCACTGAAGGTGGTTTTACTCCAATTTCAAACCTTTATTTAACAAGCTGCACTTTAACTGTCAGCAGGTTCATTTAATTGTCACTCCTCAAGTTCTGCGCCCGCGCCGTGCGTTCAGGTGCAGCGACGGAAAAAGTGGAGAATATATTCAAAACTCAGGAAAGATCGTCCTTTTATAAATACACACTTCCACATTCGGACCAGCAGCTAAAACCCTCGCATATGATCCAGAATGCAGCTGCACGTCTGGTCTTCATCCACTTACTCATCGACCTACGCTGGCTTCCCACGGCCGGCCCAATCAAATTCAAGTCCACCTTCGACACTCCAACATGTCTAACCAGTACGTTCTATGCGCTTCTCTACCTGATCTCCTTCCACTTATTAAATAGATGTACACCGGGGTCTGATCTAGATTAAAGCGTCTGCCACATGAGTAAACGTAAGTGCAAATCAGTCTCACCTTCTCTCTGCTGCTGTTGGCTGTGATCGACCTCTGCGTGGCTCCTCTCAGCGCCGTTCTGTAGTTGTAGAAGTTGCTGGAAGGATCCATCTGGTGCTGCGAGGAGGAAATCAAACACAGTGTGAGGAGAGCCGCTGGGAGAGAGGAGAGCATCTGACGGGCTGTGACGCTGTGACGCTGGTTTGCAAAGAAAGGAAAAGCTGTAGAGGGACGTTCTGAATTTTTGTGTTTCAAGCTAAATGTGGAGTCGGTAAAAAGGTTAACCAATGGATGAGCCGACTGACAGAAAATTAAATTTGATAATATCCATTTAAGACGTCACCTCGACAACTTTTTCAACATTTCCTAAAACAAATTTTCTTGATTAATGGACGTGAAAAGACAATGAAAGTGATCACTATTTGCATATTAAAATAAAATGCCTCCATGCTGTTCATGAACTGACTTGAACCCCCCCCCCCCGTGGCGCACCACAGTATATTAACTACCCTCAGTGTGGCATTAGCCTGTCAGTGTCATGTGATGGTGGTTGATACCATCAACTGTGTGACCTTGAACGAACCAGCAGCAGAGAGAAAGTTCAGCAGTGAGTGAGGCTCACAGGGACAAAGGAGGTGGAGAGGAGGAGGAGGAGGAGGAGGAGGAGGAGGTGTGTGACTGACGGAGAGAGGGAGAAAGATGAAGATTGAACTCCGGTGAGACGTGAAGGGAACCTAAAGAAGTGAGTCTTTGAAAGCTTTTCAATCCCACAGAAAGGTCCCGGCCCGACGCGTCTCCACCTCAGATCTCCCTCTTTCAAAGGGCTGAGTGACGGCCCGCTGGGCTCACAGGGTGTGTGTTCCCTGCTCTATCTGGGGTTTTACTCAGGTACCGCAGGGAGGGAGGGAGGGAGGGAGGGAGGGAGGGGGTGCGTGTGATCTGAACCCCAGCCACACTGAAACATCTGGGGCTTCCTGGCTGCAGGACTCCCTCTCCCTCCACCTGCCTTCATTCCCTCCGGACGCGTCACTTCAACATGTTTGATTCTAACATGTCTGTTAGATTCGTTGGTTTGTTGCCGTTTCTGATGCTTCGGCTCCAGAACGTGTCTCCTCACATTCAGTCTTGAGTTCAACTTTTAAATCTATTTTGTGTTGGATTCAACACGTTTCTGAAGTTTTTCACACCTGATCGCACGTTTTTTTGCATTTGTCTTATTGTGTCTTTGAATAAATTGAAACGTCAGTGAAACAAAAAGAAAAAGCTGAGACGTTTTGTGAAATCGTCACATTTAAAAACAGTTTTAAAAGATGTCGCAATCACAAAACACTGGGGAAAAGTTGACGTGTGTTTTCCTGTTAAGTTAAATGAAATGTTTTCACATGTTTCAGTGTCTTTATGTTGCTTAGTTATGTCGCCATGGAGGAGGAGGAGAAACACACCGATCTGTGCGAGTCACAGTAAATCTCTGCTCTCCCACTCAGATCCACGTTCACGGGAGCTTTTCAGCGCAACCGTGTTCATCTGCCTTTGTCTTTTGCACTTCACCCAACACTTCAGTGGACGGGGGGGAAGAAGCTCCCCCACACGCCCACATCACAGTTAGTCATCAGTGTCGGACTCAACAAAATCACAGAGCCGCACAAGTGTGTGGGCTCGCAGGAAAACACATTACGGATGATTAAAACTCAAGAGGAAATTATGTAAGAATGTTAAAAAACACAGATTTGAAGTGGTTTTTTTTTATTGGCAGATCTTGAACCTTTCTTCATGCAAACTTACTTCTAAGATGTCAAACTTGGCCGTCTTGACTTTACTCCAGGTTTTCTTCAGCCGAGACACAGGACTCATGTTCATCCCAGCTGTGAGACGGACACACACACACACAAAGAAGAAAAAGACAATGAGAGAGACATCACACATCCACGCAAACACCCAAAACACCACCGCATTAACACATGGCATTTTCCCCATTCAGCCAGACGGACGCACCCCCCCCCCCCCCCCCCCCCCACCCTTCCTCCCATGGTAGTCATCCTTTAACAACACCCCCACCCCACCTCCACCCACCCCACCTCGCCTTTTCTTTCCCTCTACTGTTGTTTCTTCTGATGCAGCGAGGCAAAAGGCTGCAGGAACAATGGAGTTAACACACGCCTCGTTTCCCCTCCCAGCACTCTGCTTCCCATATGGTAATCCTCTGTGTGTGTGTGTGTGTGTGTGTGTGTGTGTGTGTGTGCTGCATGTTCAGGCAGCTTATGGGGGGGGGGGGGGTCACCGTCGTCAGAGCAGAACAACAACACAAAACAACTCCAGAGTAAACAAAGGAGCTCAGAAGAAATATAAATCTAACTGTTAAAACCCTGAGATCACTTCACTACACACAACATGGGTTTTTTTTTTTCCCATGATGCTCAGGAGACGGAATGAATGAAACTCTGATGGCGGCGTCGGCGACATGTGACGGTGTGAGTCAGAACGTGTCTTGCTTAGGAAGCAGCTCCATCACACTCACAAAGACACTAGTGTGTGTGTGTGTGTGTGTGTGTGTGTGTGTGTGTGTGTGTGTATAAGGACAGGTGTTGGCTGTGTTAGTGGCTCTGTTGGGATGCGCACACACACAAACACACACACACACACACACAACGCCACACTTGTGACCCATGCAGGGGCATCCCAGAGCCCCCCTGTCCCCGCTGAGTGTTTCTAGACAAATACCAAAAAAAAAAAAAGGCAATTAAGAAAATTTCCTTTTCATGATTTGTGTGAACTAACCCTTTAATCACATCACTAATAAACTGTGTGACCTGGGTGGTTCCCTGGAGACGAGGCTGGCGGAGAAGCTTTGCCTGTGGCGCTCTCTCTCTCTCTCTCTCTCTCTCTCTCTCTCTCTCAGGGGAGAAAGACAGAGGACAGCTGGCACTCCCAATATCCTCCACTCTCCCGTACTCTCTCATCATCCTCATCCTCCCTCCTCCCTCGTGTGCTCACACCGTCCCCCGGTCAGTGCTGACCATCTGCCTGGATGGGGATGTTCTGCATCCTATTCCAGCTGCCCCCCCCCCCACTACCCCTCCCTCCCCCCTCAGGCCTGTGAGAATGACCACAGCCCCTCTCCTCTAAACACTCGGACATCTCTAGGATCCCCGAAGCCAGAGCGTCCAGTCCGGTCCCTCAGCTGTCCGAGGTGACCCGGGTCATTTATCAAATGCACATGTGGCACATCTGGCGGCCACTGCGCAGCTCCACTTTTCTGTGAGATCTAAGAAAGTAGACTACCCATGATCCTCTGCAACTTCCGTACGAGTGTATATATGTTAATGCAAATGCAAAGCAGTCAAACGTCAGCAGAAGAAAGCTTGGAGAAGCGTTTCTCCTCTCCTGACCATTTTTCTATCGGGACAATTATCCGCATGAGCTGCTGCTGCCGCCGAGCGTCACTGATATCATTAGGCTGGAGTAAATTGCGTAAGTTGGAAATGAGCTGAGACGAAGTCATGAGAGGTTAGGGCCACTGCTACAGGGCAGGGGAGATTACATCGCTGCACGAAATTCCCCCTGAACAACAAATTGCATTTACTACGCTGATCGGATTTACTGATGACTGTAAGAAACAGCCGTCTTCGCAGGAAATGTAGATGGGAGGGAACAAGTGCAGAGTCCAAACGACACTGATGAAGTACAAATCATTTCCTGGCTGTTGAATGTTGTCTTAAAACATTTGCTTATAACTCAGTGACTCGTGACGATACAGTGCAGTGACAAGAAGCACATCAGGGTTACCAGTGCTCCTCCTGTCCTGGCTTTATACGATAAGAGAGTAAAATCAAACCAGGACTCACAGATGATGGCCATGAGGGAGTTGAAGTTGCCGATGTTGAAGCATTCACGCGCCACGTCGATGAAGAACTCGATGACTCGAGCTCGGTGCTTCTTCTTCACAGGCTGTTAACAAAATGGAGAACATTAAAGAAAAAACTGCATCATGTCTCAGCGCAGGTTGTTTTTACTACAAACTGTGCAGTAATTATCAGGGAAGACGGCAAAAAGTATTAAAGTTTGCTTCTCCTTTATATATTATATATCGCTTTTCCCTGTTTTTATATCCCTGTAAACTCAATATCCTTCAGTTTTTTTTTCCCGCCTTGGACTTTGGACATTTTTCACCATTTTCTCTCATTTCATAAACTAAACAACAACCGACAGATTTACACTGATGTAAAATAATCAGCAGCTGCAGCCCCGTCATCACTTTCCCTCCATGAGCGAGCTCATTACTCACCATGCAGATTTCTGTAGCCACCAGATAACTGAGTCTGTTGAACCATTCAACATAAGCTTCCAGGTTGCTGGCCTTCTTGTGATCACTGAAGCAACTCTGCAAAAAAAAACAAAACAACAACAGACTTTTAATTAACATTTAAGCTAATTGCAAAGCAGAAATTGTGCTGAAGTGGAAAAATAAATCATATATCAATAAAAGTTTTTGCTTCTTCTTTTTTTCTTTTCTTCTTCCTTCTCTCAGTCGATGCATCACTGAGCATAAAAATAAACTCCTGGGTGAGCGGACCTGAGCAGCCAATCACACTCGACTTCACTCTCTTCTATAAGCACAATAGTGGCCAATGTTATTCACATTATGCATGCTGGTCCTTTGTGAGGACTCCTCTTGATCTAATTCCACACATTCCTTTGGCCTTACGCCATTTGCCCCCGTGTAGTGTTTCCTGCCAGTGGACACGTCGCATTTTAACACGCACACACACACACACACACACAGAGTTACTCCCGTCTTTTCCAAGTGGCTCGTTGGGGGTACGAGGCAGGCTAGTCCGAGGCACAAAGGCAGCCTTAACCCCCCCCCCATCACCTGGCTTCCAAAAAAGGGGCTGTTGCCTAGCAGCCAAACGCCAGACAAGAGAGAACCCACTGCCAGACACACACACACACACACACCCCTTCCCAAAACAAACCCTTGGCAGCAGTGGTTGCTAGGAGATGGGGTGCATGCATGCCCGTCTAATCTCGACACCGGGATGGTTTGAGGAAATTGTCTGTGAGAGTGTGTGTTTCTGAATGTGTGTGTGTGTGTGTGTGTGTGTGTGAGGATATCTGGTCTGCTGCTACAGTCTGGAAATCACCTGCCCTCCCTTTGACCTGTGCGGCGGCCCAGTCTTGGTGTTGTGTAAACTGAACATCCGTCTGGAGGAGAAACTAGGCCGGACTCACGTCTAACCCACCCCAGACACAGACTTGCCAGAATCAGGTCCACACTCACACACACACACACGCACAAAGATTTCAGCCAAAAAAAAATAAATAAAAGGTTTGGAGTTGCGTAACCACTGTATATGTTTTCTTATCTGCTGATGTATTCTTAGAAAAGCACGCAGACGTTACCTTATCGTTGTCCAGAGGGTCTTTTTGGACAAAGGCCTGGACGAATTCTTCAGGTCCGATGTAACTGAGTCTCTCCTGAAAAGGCAAAAAAAAAAAAAAAAAAAAAGGAAAAATAATTCAACAAATCCATCTGTGGTTTGCATCTCCTTAAAAACTAGGTCGTTAAAACAGTTTGTTTTCTTCTCTGACCGGCTGACATGTAACGGATATACAGATGCGGTGAAACGCCACCGTTTCAAATCAATGCTGTGTCAGGACAGACGTGGGAGGAGCCGCGGCATTCGCTTCACCTCGGCCGCCGCACTGATTTGTAATCCATCATACTTGTCAGCCGTCCAATCTCTCACATGTTCTCCTCTCAGGATCGATTGGGTCTTATTTTCTTTGTGCGAGTCATTGGCAGGATTTCTGATTGTTCTTTGGAGGATGAAATTTTCCGTCTTAATTTGCTTTGACGTGTCACAACAGATGATTGATGCGATGTAATGACTTAAACCGATTTTCAAGATGAGACGGATGAACTTTAACCTTCTGGGATATAGAGAGTTCTCACCAGTTCTATGTGCGTGAGCTGCTGTGCGACGGTGAAGGGGTCGTTGCAGATGGACAGCATGTCTCTCTGGATGGCTGCCTGGGGCTTCGCCTTGAGCGCCGTGAGTCGGTCGGCCGCTGTGGCGTTGATCTTGACAAGCGCCTCCTCGTACTGGCTGAGCACCGTCAACCTCCTGATCAGGCCCTGGCTCATCTGGCCCACTGCCTTCCTGTAAACCTGAAGGGATGAACGGGAAAGGGAAGAAGAGGATTAGTTGGGGACCCAGCACAGTTCCTTGAGGCACACCTTGAGATGGGGTCAATAATATTTGGATATTGAACATTGAGGAACCCTTGAGTTGTTACCATGAGCTAAGGCTTAGTTTCCTGTTCTCTAGCTCTGTACTGGCTTGACACACGATTGCAACACTTGCCGTTAGAGATGGTTACATAACTTTTCAATTATGTTTGGTTATTAATAGCAAAGGGAAGAGACACTAGAACAGATAACAAGAACAAGAGATCTCAGTCTGATGTAATTTTGATCAGATCTCCATTAGCATGCATGCAGCCACTTTTGTTTACCTCAGCTGGAGGCATTTTAGGTTAATCCCTCACCACTGTTCTGTGGCAGAGAGTAATAACAACTCTGGTGGAATTTACAACGCACACGTTGACAACATGTCAGCAAAACTGATGCCAGCTCGCAGCCCCAAACCACAGAACGCCAGAGCTGCAAATGTGACGACTCCAGTGTTTGTTTTGCAGGAAAGCATCCTCTCGGTCAAGCACCAAGAGGAGGGTTATTTACAATGTTACGCAAGTGTCTTCCTGCCCGGACTCATTAAGGCCCCTCAGCTCAACGGGGGCAGAGGAGACGGCCTCTCGGCTCCCCGGCCTTAGGGGTCGAGGGGTCGTCCTGTTTTAAACTTTCCCCTGACTCAAAACAGGCCATGATTAGCTGACTGTCCCCTCACTGACACAGTTAGGCACTGAAGTTGCATAAGAGGGTCTAGAGAGGGAAGGACATGTGAGTTTGATTTAGTGTACACAGTGAAGACTGTGTTATTGTGAGTGTGGAGGATCCTGTTCATGGATTCTTTCCACACCACCGCTGTGATCTGCCCAAAAGAAATCAGTGACGAGGTCTCTTTTCTCACCACCACATCCCTCCTCCCTCAACTTTTCTGCCAACTCAGCCTCCAGAATCTGGATTCTACAAACAAGAGTCTGGTTCAAAAGGGTGAGAAGAAACACAGCGAGCTTTATAATGGATGTGGAGGCCCGGTGCCGAGACGGCAATCACATGTGTGATGAGCGGCGAGTTCTCGGTTCTTGGGGGGAAAAAAAATTAGCGGAGTCTCATCGCTCAGCTGGAAGCAGCCAGGGCGGGACCTTTTCTGAAATTCACTTCCCAGCCCGGGCGTGACTGATGCATCTGTCTGCAGGGTGATGTGGCTGGATAGGCTCTGTGGATTTTGCAGTTTTGGCGAAGGATGATTTGCAGGACTCAAGGACAGAGAGAGGAAAATGAGGTTGTAGAGAAAATTGAGGTTTCGTCTTGCAAAACAAGTTGAGAGGAACCAATAACCAGAGAGAAAATCATATATTCAGATGAAAAAGAAAAACTGATGATCCTTTTAAAGGCTGCAACTAATTACATTTTTCATTCTTGATTAGTTTTTCCAATAAATCAATTAATGAAACGTCAGTTGTTCCTCTAAAAAGTCCTGAACCCAAAAATATTCAATTTTAAAAACAGAGAAACACTGAAATTTGACATATTTGAGACGCAAGAAACAACAAATGTTTGTATTTGTTGGTTAATAAATGATTTGAATGATAAATCAATTATCAAAATTGTTTATTAACTGGGCTGGATTGGACTTTTCTCCCTTAATATGACTGTAAATTAAATATCTTTGGGTTTTGGGACGGTGAAAGCATCACATCCATCTCTCAGATTGTGTGACAGACTTTACTATTAAGGATTTAATCCAAAAAAAAAAAGCAGAGGGATTAAAAGATGAAATACCTTCACTCAGGCACTGTACTATCAGTGTAAACACTGTACACACTCAGCTAATGCTTGACCACGCTGCTGCACAGTTGGACAACAGTGAGACCCGCCACCAGTGAAAATCGCTCCAGTTGCCACTTCAAAGTCAACCATCTGCCGTAGCTTCTGTCCCCACTACAAACAGAGGACAGGCCGGGGTTGGATAAATATAGCCACAGATCTTGGAGACAACAGCATGCCTGACATTTCCAAACAGAGGGAGCCACATTTGCTCCTCACAAACCATTGGCGTTACGAATGAAAAGGGGTGGGTGGGGTGGGGTGGGGGGGCTAGCAGGGGCACGCTGTTCCCTAATGCCATCGACCCTGGCAGTGATCCTGAGGTGGCAGACGGCTGCTCAGTACAAGTCGCTATGACTGAGTGTGTGGTCGGTTCGTGCCATCGAATCACTAGAGGTGCTGTTTTTCTTGGCCAGGTGGCGTCATTTCCTGCGGAGCGCCACCTGTCCCACCAAAAGGCCGGACTGTTTTTAGCAGGTTAGCCGAGCAGCACTAACGAACAGGTAGTAAGTTGCATTTTTATCTACAAGCACGTCCATATTGCAAAAGTCACGATGGGACAAAAATAACCTCCCCACCACCTGATGATGATGCAACACATCAGGTCAAGTCTTCATCATGCAGCCCGCTTATAGTCAAGTCTTTAGAGAGTCAACTCTCAGAACAGTCACGTCCCAAGTCCTTGTTTTCATTAGCTAAGTCCCAGAAGAGTCCAAGTCTCTACTGTCAACTCTGGATCTCACTGATTTAAAGCTTAACAGAGGAATCTGCCTGAGTGCAATGAGCATTTGGGCTTTACCTCCCTGCAACAACAGCTTTTATAATGTTTTCTGTTTTAAAAAGGTCCCATATAGTATGTGTTGTTTGATTATAAAGCAGGTCTAGGTTCTATATTAAGGCTCAGAGCCTTCTCTCTTCTGATTGGCTCACAGACCTGTTGTTACTAGAGCTCCGGAGAGACGCCTGAGAGAGGAGATGTGAAACTACATTCAGATGGTTTTTGGTTCTTAAAATCACAAATATATCTTCTTATGGAGCAACACAGGAGAAGAGGAAAATATGGAGTTGTTCCAAATTCTTGGGCTTTATTGTTCCAGTGCTCTCTTCTGTCATGAAGCAGTCACACACAGTTAGGATATCAGCTCCACTTGGACCAACTGATGTGCAGATATTGGACTGTAAAACACACAGTGCAGGGGACACCTGTCACAAAGAGTCACTGTTTCATGCACCACTTGGATTAAAAAACAGTAATGTGTGTCCAAACATCTGGCTTATATCAAGTGTACCAGGCATCCAAACTGGATATATAATGTGTGGTCTGTTAAATCAACCTAACTTATCATAATAAAGCAAAAAAAAAAAACAAAAAAAAAAAAACAAAAAAAACAAAGTGGTGCAAAATAAAAACTGCACATTTTGAGGGATGGCAGGAACCGTGCACCACCAAATGAGGTCAGATCAAGATCACAGTGCTTGTTTTCTTCTCCGCTGCTGCTTCCCTATATATCCAACCACATCCATAATGACAGTGTTACTACGCAGATCAAGGTCCTGGAATGTTTTGAGTGTGGTCTGGACGCGACTTTGACCAGATGTTCAGGACATCTATTTTGGACTCGAACCCTTTTCTCAGAGCGCTGTGGTCGACGCTGTGAAGAATCAGCATCTGACTCTAAACTCCAGATTTCTGCTCCTGGTTTTTGGAGCATTTAGGCTTTTTTTTTTTTGTTTTGTTTTCAAAACAGGATTTGGAGAATGTGTGAGAAACATGAATACAAATCAGTTCTGATCTGATCAAACTCACTGATGTCAGCGGCCTGTTTTCCTTAAAACCTCAACAGCTGAATTTGTTCTAAGAAACGCCCCGTGGCATTTGTACTACCCACAGCGTGGAATCATGTTTTACTATCACGGGTTATCATCTACGATAACACGAATAAACAATATTACAACTTCACTTCCTCAGCATTTGGCTTGTGGCAGCTTTTTTGAACCCGAGGCACCGCAGCCTCCATGAGAACCTTTCATTTATAAAAAGGCCGTTTTTGGGTCACGCTGTGCTAATCATGAGCACACACACCGCCGGTGGCTTACATGATATCACGGCACATCCACGGGGCGTTCGAGTACTGTAAGAGGCTTGTTGATCGCCACAGTACAAACATCAACATATAACTGAAAGGGCTTTTTCTATTCATGCCATTTGTCAAACGCAGGGTCAAACAAGGCAGCGTCTGGCTTAGTTAACCTTTCCCCCACAAATTATTTACAAACTTTCATGATCTTGAGGGAATCTCATGATATTTAGCGTTTTACAAAAACAAATAGTCGGATGAGTCCGACAGCACAGGAGCTGCAGCAGTCACACAACAGGGCAGGTTATTAAAAAAAGAAAAAAAACAAGAATTTGAAAGCGAAAGTTAAAATGATTACACAATCTGCCTGTTAGGTAAACTTTCTGGTTCAACTGTCACCTACTGCGGTTTGCTCTTGCATTTGGATTTTCCATGCAATTAAGGATCTGAAGCAACTTTCTGGGTGCAGTCATTTTCCCCCTCAAATAATACAGTTAATATAATAATCAAATAGGAGACAAATTAAAGGATAAATGAATAATAAACGGCTGAAGATGCTTTCTAATGACTCCAATACAACATCAATCGGAGTGATGATGTCACATGACTCATTTGTACATGTAAAAATGTTTTTTTTATTTGGATGCACTTTAAAAATAATGCACGTCTTATCTTATTTTGTTGACTGTACAGAGCGTGACATCATGGGCAAGTACCAGTACATCTTGTGCTAAATACTTTTCTGTTTCCTCACTTTCAACCATGACGATATCTTGTTGGAGTTGATGCCAACTGCAGCTGATCTGCTTTAAAAAAATGTTTTAAAGAAAAATCACAAGATGTTTGTGTGACCATCAGAACACAACAACAGTGTCCATGTAAAGGGGGGGGGGGGGGGGGGGAATNGGGCAGATACTGGGAGCTGCAAATGTGTCATAGTGACATGTGAACGGATTGATTTCTAGATTTAATCAGGATCAATAGTCGTGCTTGTACTATTGATGAGTCATGTGAAAGCTACGATAAAACAGCGGGGGGGTGGGGTGGGTCGTGTTTTTCTAGTGTTGAGCAGTGAAGGGTGGATGTCCTCCCATCAGGACCGATGGATGTTTGTGTCCTCCATCACTGTCTGGTCCTAACAAGCCCCTGCTGGCTTATCGTTAACACCGAACTCCACCCATCCCCCAAAATAAATACACCCACTTAACTTGGACATGCAACTCATTCCCAACAAAACACATGTGAAAACATTGGACATGCACGGATTCATGATGACTAACCAAATTATTTGTCTAGACTGAAGAAAACTGAAGTGGGGTGGTTACCGCTGGGAAAGAACAGTTGATATAAAAGGTCACGCTAACACAGTTGGAAGAAGAAAAGATAAAAGCTGGGGTTTGTTTCATTTGTTTTTTTCCCCTTTAACTTTCCCTTTAACGTCCTTAACCACAAATACCAGGCTAAATGCTACATGCTACACAAAAATACCAAAGAGAATGTGCAGTTAAAGGGAATTGTTTGACATTTTCTTGGGAGAGTTAGCAGAGAAGATGGATTATCTTAGTTTAGCATATCCTGTGAGGCAGTGGCTCAACAGCTAGCAGCTAGCTGGCCTGGCATTTGTCAAGATTCCTCACATTAAATTAACAAGTTAATATGTTAGCTTTAGCAGCGCTAATAGGCCGATTTTTTTAAACTTTGAATGAGCTAACTGTTTTCTCCTGGCTCCAGCTTTGATGCTATGCTAATAGCTATCCGGTCCGATATAAAGCTTCTTGTCTAAGCTGATTTTCAACATTTTTAGCTATTTTTTTGAAGTACACACAGGTATTTTCTAAGCTAAGTCACTATTAGCTCAGCTTATGTTAGCATTTCCTTTCACAGCATTGATAGCATGAGTCACCTCTTGTCAAAACAACTTTTCTATATCTAAATCTCAAACAGTGGAGGGTCTGAATGTGCACCAAAGATAACATAGGGTGCAGGACAAAAACAGTCCTACCCCACTATAAAAGTCTGCTGTCCAAACAGCGCACCAGAGGCTAATGACACGCTAAGCCAGCGACATTCAGCTCTGCAGCAGTGGAACAATCCGAAATGCTGCCTAGGAGGGAGCGCCCCCAGAGATGACACAAAAAAGCCACCTAGCCCCGTGAACAATGGGGCTTTTCTCTCAGCGCAGCCAGCCTCAAAACCGGCTTTGTTGCCAGAGACACCCACCTCCACCACCCTCCGCTGCTATCTGCAAAAATCTGCCTGTGCCTGTAGCTTTTGCTGCACGTGCACGTCTGAAAAAACAGCACTCCACCTTGTGATCACACCTAAACTAAACAGCAGACAGACACTTTCCTGTTAATTAACTACTTCAGGTATGAATAACTGCAGCGTACTGACCTCGTCTCCACTAGCCAGCCGGTGGGTCAGCTCCTTCAGGCTGCGCATCATCCTCTCGTCCCTGAAGTCATACGGGAAGGTTTCCGTCCACTCCGTCAGGAGCTGGAGGATCTTGGGAGCAATCTTCCTGACTCTCATCTGCAAATGAAGGATAAACATAAGTAGGGAGAACCAAACATAGGATGCATGGCTGAGATGAGAGTCCTGTTGGATCCGCTGACTGAATTTGAAATAGCTAAGAAGGGAATTTGTTGTGATACCTTGTCAGCCTGGGGATCGCTGAGCCGCTGCTGCTCCATGCACATCTGGCACACCTTGGACATGAGTTCATATGGGTGGATGAAGAGGCGGGAGCTGAGCAGGAAGGTGAAGATGTATGTCCTCTGTAGAGAGAAAAGACAGTAAGTTTAACTGTAAAGGCAAAAATGAAGATGAGAGTTTGAAAATAGGTTTTAAAACTCACAACTAAATATATAAATAACAACTTTTAATCCCTGATGTGTGGAATGAAAATGAGATGAAAGAAACGTTTAAAAACAAACCAAATACTCACATCTGGATAATAATCTACAGTTGGGACCAGGTGGTGAATGAGGGCCTCCAGGGACCCGGACACCAGGTTGTTGTCATGGTAATAGAGGCCGGGGTAGCCTTCCTCCTTGGTCTGGTACAGGTTCTTGTTGTAGCTGCCTGTGTTCAGCTGCCCCGTGAATGGCGGTGTCTGAGGCATGTTGTCCTACGAGAGAAAAAAGGACAAACACAGGAACAGTCAGTCAGGACGCCACGAACGTCTCCTCCAATAGATATTTCACCGCAGACGCTGATGCAGGATGTAGCCGAACAAATCCAAAATAGCTCCGAGACACAAACACAGACGGCAAAGGTTTGTTTGGGAAAATGGTTTGGATGCAGTCGACTCCCTTCCTCCTCTGGATCCCCCGCTGTCTATCTTAAGGTTTCAGAGTTTGGGTTTAGTTTAATTGGACGTGTAGGAGCTGAAATGAAAACTGTGGCTCAGTTTTATGAGTCATCTGCAAGGAAACAAGAATAGACGGCTTACAGACGCTTTGTTGAGCTTTACAGGAAGCTGAACCCTTTACCCTTGGTAGCATTAGTGCTTTACGCCACACCGCCAACGCTTAGCTGTGCAGGTTAATGTGCATCATCCACAGTCCAGTAACTGCAGCCGCAGCAACCTTTAAGAGTTGGTTATTAATTCGCAGCGAACAAGACGAAGACGGATGAGGATTTAAGCTTTAGTGGGAAAGTTCATCCATTCAGACTCCGTCTCCTGACCCACAAAGAGCTGCGGTTATAAAGGGACTTCTGTGTTTGTGTTTCAACATAAAAGTGAAAGTACATCAACAACATGTAAGAGCTTGTGAGATACTCTGTTCCAAGCTGTTGCCCTGCAGGACATCATGACACTGAACGCCTGTTTCCTTCCACTGCTGCCGCGCACACGTGTGTGTGTGTGTGTGTGTGTGTGTGTGTGTGTTTGTGTTTCAAAGAGGCAGAACAAATCACAATGCACGGTAGAACATGACAAGCGGAGGAGCACGCGTATGATCCTGTGCTGCGGTGCGGGCGAACACTGATCAAAACGTTGCCATAGAAACTTGTATAACTAATCCCAGACTGACCCAGAGGTGCAAAAACAATCTCTGTCGGTAAATTCTCTGAGCAGATAACTGGTCCTCACAAACATAGAACAACACCTGCACGCGCACACACACACACACACACACACACACACACACACTTTCCTCTGCCAGTCCTCCTGACCTCTGAACCTGGCACTCTGGCTTTGTCCCCTGCCAGGCAGACTTATGGTTAGGGAAACACAAAGGGCCTTTTCACACCGGGGGGGGTGGGGGGTCAGTGCAGGTTGCAACAACCCCACCCCCTCCACAAACACACACACACACACACACACACACACATCTCCACCTCCTTGACAATATGCTGATCCGTGGCTGCCTGCCGAGTCAGGAAGCCTTTAAGGCTGATGCAATGCAGCACCGCCAGGGACGGATATGGGGGATGCCAGGAGGTGTAAACTGCACCTGGCACCAACAGTTCAAATAAATTTAGGGTTTCATTGTCCCGTGGGGGTGAGAGAGAAGACGTCAGCTGATCAGACCATGAGTGGAAATGTAGAGATATCATTTAGTCGGCCCCTTTAAAAGTCACGTTAAGACTCTGGTTGCCTTTGCAGCGTCAAAAGACTTGATATAGATACCAAAACAAATCCTGAGTATTCATAAGTTCACATAAAAGGCTCCGCCCACACGAGACAAAAACCACTTTCACACGGCTGCCGCGCCATAATGCACACGTGCACACGCCGTCCATCGCTATTATTCAGCGAGACAACCATGGCCATTTCCATGAGAAAAGGGCGAGCGCGAGGAGTCAGAGCGCAGCGGCCCTGGCATCTGCTGCACCATGTGGCTTCCCCCGCACGGAGGCAGAGACGGGGAGATCACGAGTCTGATGGAGGAAGATGAAGGGGGGGGGACACTGATACAAGTCAACTGCATCTTTGTTTACTCCGCTGAGGGTTTTCAGATGAACTTTAAGAGCTCAAACTCATTTAGCAGCATCCCAGTACAACCACAGATGTCTGCCGTGCACTAAACACACCACCGAGGTTCAGATGAGCGGCGCACATCAACAGCAGCAGGTGATCGAGCGCCGAGAACGAGACTGCTTCACTTTCCCCAGCTGGGATCTAGAACCTCCCTGATCCCACGCTTTCTTTCCTGATCAGTAATCGGGAGGGGTAGGGTGGGGTCTGGTTGGGTGGGGGTGGATGGTATAGTAATACCCGCCTCTTCATTTTTAGTACTTAAAGTCAACAGGTGGGATCCAGCTCCTCCAGTATTAACTATCATCCAGATGTGACTTATCGACTTTAAATAAAGTTTCTGAGTATTTCCTGAGGTGGGGTATCAGAGTGATATTCGCCAGTTTAGTTGCACTAGGATTCAGGTCAATGACACACACACACACACACACACACTCACACACACCTCCTGTAAGTGAAACTACTGAGCCTCAGATCGCACAGCACACAGAGCTGCGTTTCTGTTGCAGCGAGCGGTGCTGGAGCTTCGGTATCATGACATCATCACTCTCCCTCTCTGATGGCTCTGAAAACAATGTGGAGGTGGGACTTTGAAGATAAAAGCTGCAACTAACACATACAAAAAAGTCTGTAGTCTCCTCTATCAGAGCAGCACTTCTGCCCAGCAGCCTGTGGAGGTCAGTGCCGAGTGTTTCACGTCTCATCTAAAGTTGTTTTGTTGATGCTTCTGATTTGTCCTGAAGGTTTTTTAAAAAAAAAAAACACATATATTGCTGCGAAATGAATATCTCAAATTCTTAAATATGAATGAGAGTTTTACTTGCAAAGATTAGGGGCCACTGTCGCTGTCAATCATGTTACATCCTACAGCCCAATGATTCAGTTATGTCCATCCCCATCTCTGCACTAAAGCCAACAGTGTGTGTCCTCCTCTTCCAGCTGCAGCCTTCATCATAATCCTAAAAACAAAGCTCAGGATGCTTAAAAAAGACACACTGATTTACATTTGGCTTCCAGGTGGCGTGTGTAGTAGTGGAAGCAGTAGTGGTGGTGGAGGGACCACATGTCGGGGTCCCGGGGGCCTGACAAACGCAAACCCCGAGCACACTGCTGTTGGTTTAAAGCGCGGCTGCTGGCCGGGGAGCAGCTGAAGGTAAACAAACAAAATGCCAAAGCTTGCAACCCCACTTTAGGGGGAGGGGGGGGTTGTTTAGGTTGGGTGGCTGGTTTTAATTATAGCCTCTCTGCTTGTGTGTGTGTGTGTGTGTGTTTGTGTGTGTAAAACCACCCGCCTCAATGTGTGAATGAAGTGCGGTTCAGATTTAAAAGCAGAGGACGTTCAGATTCCTGGTAATAAACAGTTAAAAGGCGACACTCTTCAAACTGTGATATTCGTTAAATATTCAAACTCTCAATCTATTTTTACACCCACACACACACACACACACACTCTGCTCCCGCTTCTGCTATTGGCTGAGGCCGCTGATTATCACATGGTGGTGAGTCTCTCGGGGTGATTGCCCGGCTCGGGAGCTGACTCACTCACTCGGGGGATATCTCGTGGTAAATCTGAAGGGACTTTCTCCGCTCTTTCCTAATATTTACACACAACGCTCACCTGAAACAAGCGACGCAGAAATTAAACTAAAAAGACATTTGTGTAAAATACGCTCCTTTGCCTTGTGGGGGGGAGGGGTGGTGGTGGGGGGTGGGGTGGTTGTGGAACGGGATGGCATCGGCTTAAAAAGCACCAAAACCTCCCGAGGCGAAGGTCACATTAAGAGTAAGACCTACCTTCAGGCTGCAGAGCCAATGACATGTGTTTTCAGGTCATTTTGGCTCCAAACGTTTGGGTGGAGCCGCCCCAGAGAGAAAATGATGGAGTCTGGTCTCTCGCTTGCCCAAAATACAAGCTATCAAACAGCCTGCAGAGGCTCTTCCCGCCCTGCCCGCAGTGTTTACGACCGCTCCTGATGAGCAGCCATCAGCACTTCAGAGGCTGTGAAGAACACACAGGTCATCATTCCCGCGGTGCACCAAAACGCACGCCATCAGCCGCACGCTCAACAATTACAGCACCTTTCTGATGCTTAGAAGTGACCGCTGAGGAGCGCACAGGGTCAGGGCAGCGAGGCGCGACGCAAAGACAAGCAGGAGGAGAAAAAGCAGAAATTTGTTTATTTTCCTTTTGCTTTATTGGGAGTAGAGGCGGAGGCTGTCGCAGTGAGGGAATGTGATTCGAGCACAGGCATACTTTGAGGGAGCAGTAGTAAATCAACAGCCCCTCCACCCGCCCTCCACTGCGTAAACACCGAAAGGCATGAGGAATCTCACTCATCCATGGCTTGAGGAAATGAGGGTGAGAGATAGCCGAGCGGCTGCACGGGAGGGTGAAGAGGCCGCGGTGGGGCAGTGGAAGCCGTTTAAATACGGACGGCTGGTTGACGGTGTTGTTTGAAGCCGGGCTGTGGTCAAACTGAACTGAACTGAAGACCGGAGGGTTTTAAGTAGAAATGCACCTGCACCTGTCTGAAGCCTGCGTTGTACTTCTGCGCAGGAACGACGCAAGTATAAAAGTTTAACAGTCATGCTACCTAGCGGACCAATCACGTTTTTTTTTTAGTTGCCGCGATGTGCAGTTACATTTCTAGGCGATACAATCCAGCCTAAATATCGCAATGTACGATATTATCGTGCAGGGAAGGTTCCCATTAAGCAGATAAAACGCTGATGCTAAATTAGGACATACATCACAACAGACTCCGACAGCAGCAAGAACATTCAGACCAGAACAGATACATCGCTGTCTCACTTAACCTTTTCAACCCCACTGTCCTGCCGGGGGGTCGATCAGCGTGAACTCCCGCCGTGCAGCTCAACTTTGTTCACACCCACAGAACTTTACGACTTTAATATCAGGGTAGGTTTGAATATTTCACTCTGTGCAAACATCATAAGAGGTGAAACAAGCCAGAGTAAATATGTGACGGTGCCACAGAGAGTGATTGTTGTCCACATATATTCCAGGGGAAAAGCTAAAGTTATAACCTGCCAACTTGATGCTTCTTTTTCAAACCACTTTCATCTCTTGGGGTGTAACAAAATATACTCGTCTATCAGCCCGGTTGGGACGCCAAGAGCCCTGTTTCTGCTGTCGTCTGGATCAAAAATGATGTAACACAGGAAACTGACTCTTTCCCAGCTTTTCTTCACGCGCTCTGATGTCTGAGAAGCAGAAGAACATGGACGCTTTCCAAGCACCATCCAACCACCACATCACCCTCAGCTCCTCCGCCTCTCCTGACTCCATTCACAGCGCCGATGAGTGCCGTCGCACCCACAGTGTTTGGATTCAGGTTAGTGTTTTGCAGCTGTCGCACTGAGGCGGTAAAAATCACAGCTTCCGTATAGGATTCTGTCACCTGGTGTCATCAGTCCTCGACAGCCACATGAATCCTCCCTCCTCCCTGCAGACACTACACATCCTGCACAGCAGAAACAACAACCTTTACGGCTTCAACTCCGGATTCTTCCCCCTGCATCAAAACTCCAGGAGAGCTCCACTAATGCTGATGGTGCAGCAAAAAACAACAAACAGCTAATTTTCAACTCATGTTCTGATGCAAGCATCTGTGTCTTTGAATAAAGGGGAACCAGTGGACAGGGGACATTTTGAGACCTAAATCCAGATGCCTTTAGTCTGGGTAATCCCCGACCTCAAAGTTTTTCTCTGTAAATACAGATTCAACAATTTGCAGGTTAAAATAATCTCAGCACCTGTGTTGAAAATCAGTCTTTGCAGCAGAATTTGCTCTAAAAAATAAAAAAAAAGTGAAATTTGAACATGTTTCAGTGAGAAAACTCCGTAGACTGTGTGAAATGATCAAAACAGCTACTAAATGGACTTCATGTTGAGATTATTTTGTCATATTTAGCCGTCATTTGATAAATGCATGGTCGCTTTGTGACCTGCGAGTCAGTACCTCAGTGCTGGCTCAGGATTGAGTGACAGATTGCAGCACAGCGAGCCTGCAGCCGTGAGCACACGCTTCTTTTAATTCCCAAAGCTCCGCAGACTACACACTTTCTTTTTTTCTGAATCTACAATTACATCACCGCTTGCACCAAATATCAACCTCCTGTCACTTCAAAAGAGCCAGGAAACTTCCCAGTTCCCCCCCAAGCAAAGCAAAGCAAAGCAAAGCAAAGCAAAGCATGCATTGGCACAAACAAAGCCCACCACTGCACAAGCACCAGAGTACAGTAGCCACCATGTAATCCACAGCAACAATAACTCATTCAAGCAGAGGAGACACCCCTCACATTGTCAGCACGACCAGAGTCCTGCCAAATCACCAATAAACGGATTTAACTTGTCAGCACATTAAGGAAAACCCGAATGCATGCTTGTAATACAGAGCAGTGGGCACGGAAAGGAGGACAGAGTTATTCAGGAGAGAAGTGGGATTAACTTCACTGATCCCTCACTGTCTTGCAGGGGAGAGGAGACGGGGAGGGAGGGATGGGGGGGGGAATCCTCTTAGCCAGAGGGTAGAGGGGGTTAAAAATAGTCCGCCATTGACACTGATTTCAAAAAAATCCCATTATTGGGGTGCAATTCGGGGGGTCACTTAGTGGAAATGAAACAGACAGAAGCAGCTACTTGTGGGCATCATTACTCACGTTTGTTTTGATGCTGAAAGTCAATCACAGCGCACTGACGGCAAATAATGGTTCAATTTAAACAACAACAGCAGAAACTCTGAAGCTGAAATCTTAATTAAGTGCAGTCAAGTTGGAGAGAGAGGCGCGTTTAGAAATTGCTGCCTCGGTCCTCTCTCTCTCTCTCTCTCTCTCTCTCTCTCTGGCTGCAGATGAAGTGCGCTCTTTCCACCACCTGCGCGCATTTTTTTTTTGGAGCAGCTACGCCGCGTCTCCGAGGTCCACAAAACAAACAGCACATTCACAGAAAATCATCAAACAGAGAGTAAATCCCCACAGCTCACCTCAACGAGCAGCAATCCAGGTGTAAATTCCCCCCTCGTATCCTTTCCCGAAATGTGAGAACCAGCCTTTCAACAGCCGAGACTTTCTCCTTTCTTTTTTCTTTTTTTACATGTGAATAATAAACCGGTGAAACCCAGCTGATCCGTCCCTCCCGCTCCGCTCTTCGCTCAGAGCAGCATTATATACTGAGTTGGAAAAGCAGAGACGTGAAACGAGTAGTCCCGGTTGTTTCAGAGCAGCGGGAGCAACAGCGCGTTCGTTCCGAGGAGAAGAAAACCGCATGAATGAATGAGAGCTCCGGCTGTGCTCGTTCCGCCGCCGCCTTCTGTTGTGTTTGAGCTCCGGGAGCCGCGAGCAGCCTCAAGACTTTATTGTGAGGGAGAGGCAGCAGCCAATCAGAGGAGAGAACTCCCCACATCACCCCCCCCTCCCTCTCCTCCTCCTCCTCCCCTCTCTGTGTCTCATCGTTTTCAATTTCATTTCTCTTTCTCCTTTCTCCTTCTCCGACACTGACGGTTTTTTCCATCTGTATTTTCCTCACCCCTCCTCGTGCATGTTTCATTTCTCCATTCAGTTTGTTGTATTTACAAGAATTTCAAATCAAGTTATGCAAAAGCTTCAAACTATAATAATAATAATGATAATAAAAGATTGATTTATATTGTGTCTGATTGTTCATTTGGTGAAATGAGACGTGCAGTTCAATCAATTAGAAATCTGTTGTGTCCACAACCAAAAACAAAACTGAATTTTTAACCTTATTTTCTATAGTTTCTGCGTGTTTACCTGTGTGTGATTTATGTCTTTATGATTTATGATGAAATGTGCCTTGAAAGCGAGACTTAAAAAGGTTTTTTCACACACAATTTCCCGATTTCCGCAATGTTTCAATTTTTTTTTACAACAGTGGATTTAAAATTTAAACCCATCTTTGTGAACAACAGCGACTTTCTTTAATTGTGCAGCTAGCCAGCTAACGCTAGCTATTCAGTTGCAGCATTATTATATCGAAATGTATCATCACCTTTGTGAAATCCGCTATTTGTTTACCATGATTACCGTTGAGCATGTTAGCATGCTAGTATTTGCTAATTAGGACTAATCAACAATAATTAAAAGCAGAGGCCGAGGCTGCTGTCATTAGTTTTGCAGGTTGTTCATAAACTGAACCACTGGAGAAATGAAAACTTCGACCTGATGATGGCGCTAGCTGAAAAGTGACATTTCAAGTCAGTAAAGACAGTAGGGTTCATCCTCTGGGGACCACGAACAACCAAATGTAATGGTATTTCAAATTAAGGATGGCTACAATCTCTAATTTCAGTTAAAACATGTGACAATAATAATGATTCGTCAACATTTATTATTAAATGCTCTGTAACATGAGGCTATGTGTCCTGTGCTGTATATTTACTGTCGTATATTTGAATGGTTGCATGGAGCTACAGAGCAAAATTAGCTCTAAGCTAACAAGGTTACAAGCTCACACATTTTCAAATTATTCTCTTGACCTCCTCCCTCTCTTGCCCCCCCCCCTTCTTCCCCTTTTACCCCTCCTCTCTCCCATTTACTCTGGCCTCTCCTCATCTCCATCAACCCCCCCCATCTTTTTCTATTTTGCATGTCTACACGACAGGTTATGTAAATTGAAAACTTCATGAACACCAATAAGACAAATTATATCAGTGGAAAAGCTGTAGCATAAAAATGAACCGACCCCCCCCCCCCCCAGTTCTGTTCAGTTTCAGTTCTGAAACTGACAGTGGTGCTCATTGTTTGTTCGTATAATTTAGGGTGACAACTGTTTCTAAGTAGGGGGACGTCTAAAAAAGAAAAAAGAAGGAAGCTGCCTTTTGTAGGGAAATGGAAAATGTTGGGTCACATTACATGAAAGTCCAGAACGGGACTTTTCTTAAAAAAAAAAAAAAGTGTATAGATTAAATGAAATATTCATGCGAACCACAATCGTATTTAAATGACAACTGTATTAAATCCTCTGATGCAGTGTTCTCTGGCAAACCCTAATCTTGGCAGTGTCACGGAGCTCTGTGTGTTGAGTTATAGAGGCCCATTGTGCGATCGCTGGTTTAGTCGTCTTAATGTAGTAATTCATTTAACCAGCCAGGTCAGTTAAGATTAAATTCTTATCTACAGTGAGGAGAAATTGGTTGTACGAGAGACTCTAAATTATGTTTTATATCTGCAGAAAATATTGTCTTAGTGTATTTAATTTGTTCAATGTTACCTGCTCGTTCCTATTATCCACAAACAAGAGCAAACAGGCTTCTTTAAAACCCTTCACTGTAGTTAAAACTGGTAAAATGGTAAAGAAATGTGACTTAACGCTGGATGTTTGTTTAGCCGGAGAATCATTTGTGCTCGACCGACTTCCTCCACATTTTCCGAGCAGAGTAATAAGCCATGGTAAAATAACAGCAAATCATCCCAAATCTTGTCAACATCCAGAGGTATTACGTAATCTGGGATTAGCGCAGATTTAAGTATATATGCGGTAATCCAGCTTTCCTCTCGCTTAAATGACTGCACAGAGTTTGACCACAAAGATCACACAAAGGCAGCCGTTGTGTTGGACATCGCGGGACACAAACACAATATATGTCTGCAGACACTACAAAGAACCACGTATTCATTTTATCTGGAAATTCAAGTTTGTTTTTCATATACTGCAACAAAGACATTGGCAAAAACTCATATTCATGATAAGAGCTGATCAAGAAGCAGTACAATTTTATATATTTAGAAAGCATTAACAAATCCCTGAACCAAACATGAGTGTTGGATCTCACTTTTGGATCAGTTTTCCTAACAATTCACTGCTTCAAATGACACTGAATGTGACAGATGAGCAGGTTACCAGCAAGAAAGGCGAAGATGAAGACGAGGAAGAAAGTCCATGAACAGACCAAAACCAACACTGTGATAGTCTTGCTTTCTGATATCCCTTCCCTGTGGCTCTTAGCCTCCAGTGTTTGTACTGACATCTTTGCAGGTCCCAAGCTGCATAAAGTGACATGTCTATTATTATCATTATAGATCAGGTCTAGCTTCTATATTAATACTGTGAAAGTATCAAAGCCTCAGTCCACAGAGAAACACACACAGCCTGTATTCAGAAACTGAGCCTTAAAACCAGCCGTCAGGACTTCCTGAACTTTGTGATGTCACAACAAAGCGGTCACCGCTCTCAGCCACGCCCAAAGCCCCGCCCACCCAGACCCACCTTCTGGTCTTGCAGGATTTGGTTTCTCTGAGTGTTTTTACCTGAAATCTGCTATATTTTGTCTTCGATCACTCAGAAAACAGTCAGCCAATCAGAAGAGAGGCTCAGAGCCTCCTCTCTTCTGATTGGCTCACCGACCTGTTGTTACTAGAGCTCCAGAGAGAAACCTGAGAGAGGAGATGTAAAACTACACTGCGATGGTTTTTCAATCTTCTGATGGATCAACACTTCAAAATAAAGTCTGATTTTTACAAAACGCTCAGTAATTTTAATAATATTACAGGAGGAAATTGTACATTTGTTGGGGGACTATTTTCAGTGGTGGAATAATACACATTTGGTGCTTTAGCGAGTTACTTGGAGCAGCAGGATGGTGTGTGTGTGTGTGTGTGTGCGTGTATAAAGTGAACGTTATAAGTGTGTGCTCATGGTAATGAAGGAACATGTCACCCTGAGCAGCAGGCTCAGGGTTACTGATGGTTTTTAATAATTCTGGACAACAATGGAGCGCTGTGGCGCAGCACGGCTTTAGCCACACAGACGATTCTTGTTATTAGGATTAATTCATTGTTGGATTTGGTCTTTTCTTGTTTGTAATAAAAAATAGAGAATATCAGCCGCCATATCTGGTTTTAAACCTGTCTGTAAAACACAATACCAGTCTGACCAGTGTTGATTACAGTCTGGTTTTAGCATTTCAAAAGCCAAAGGAAGTGGGGCTTTTCCATTTCAACTCGTTCACACTCTACCTTCAGGGCAGCCTGTGCTGAATGGCCCAGTGAAAGATTTCCAGTTTGTCTATTCAGGTAACAATCAGCATGGGGCAGCTACAGCCTGGAGGTTCAATAAATTGGATTCAGAGTGTAAAGCAGGAAGAAGAAGAAAAAAAATTCCCCATCACAGACAAGGGATATTCTCGTGTAGCTCGTTTGGACAGGTTAAAGCTTTCACAGCAAAAAAATAGATCACAAATCAATACAGTCACAGAACTGTAAAAAGGTACATGATGTCCACATGCTTTCATTTTCATTATCATGCTGTGTGACTCAAGACATCAGCTGTTTACCGTTCTGGAGGAAGAGCCTGGCCGGAGTGTCAAAACTGTGCTAAAGGTCTCTTATGCAAGCGTTAAATCCAGACTGGTGCGCTGGATTTGAAATGTTCCTTCAGGGAAATAATAAATAAATACCGACTTTATGTTTGTGCAACATTCCCCATAACAACTTGAACCCAGAGTACTGAGGATTAGCATCAGGAATTCATAGTAGGATGTTTCCCATTTGGTCCAGTGTCATCATCTGAACAAAAACATCTGGAGAATTGACAAATGCTTATTTTATGCGGAGGGGAATTAAACTTGTGACTTCCTGGTTGAAGGGCAGTTTTTGTTTGTTTTTTTTTTTTTTTATCAAATATTCGAACAGATTGCAACAGTAAACAGGAAGTAGTTTTTTTAAATTTTTTATTTCTGTAAAAGTGCATGAAGCAGTTCCATCACATTTGGTACAATCAACGGAGACCTATTGAATCTCCAACCAGAGAGAAAAGCATCTTCTCCTTCACACTCCAACTGTAACTTTGTGTTCTGAGCACAGCTGACCTCCAGCTGTCAGTAAACAATCAGCAGCTTTTTCTCACACTCTTGCAGTTTGAGGGTCTTTTCCCGTAATTTTTTGGTTCAGTTAGAGTCTCGATCCAAACCACGCTGCCCTGAATGTGGCTGTTTTGCATTGTCAGTGTTTTTATTTGGTTCCACCTGAGCTCGCTGCCCCTGATACAGTCTGGCCACCTCCGCACTTACACCTGTGTTCTCTGGCTAGACCTGTGAGGAGCTCCAGGACTCGGATCTCGTGCTCCATGCGAGCTTTCTCCCTCCTCTCCTCCCTCTCGCCCGTCTCCCTCTGCCGGCGCTCCTCCCTCTGCAGCCACTGGGCCAGGAGCTCCTGGTGCCAGCGGGCGTGCTCCTGGCGTTGGCCCTCCAGCTGCACCAGCAGGCCCCGGGTCTCCGACACCAGCCGGTGGAAGCTCTCCAGCAGGTGCTTGAGGACGGGTTCCAGGCGGGTGGACTCGAGGTGGTGGTGGCCAGAGGTGGGGAGGGTGCTGGGGCTTGGATCTGGGGGTGCAGGGAGAGGAGAGCCAGTGGACTGGGTAAGAGGCGGAGGAGGAGGAGGAGGAGGAGGAGGAGGAGGAGGAGGAGGAGGAGGAGGAGGAGGAGGAGGAGGAGGAGATGGAGATGGAGGTGGTACTACATGTGGGGAAGGAGTGCTCAAGCTGTTTTCCACTGGTGTACCTATGACACAGGATATAAAAATATAAATTATACAACAGGAAACAGTATGTGACTATTATTACTGACATTAATGACTGAAATAATTAGTCAATTAAGAGACAAGTTGAACAACAGAAAATTAATCTGCAACTATTCTGATTGATTAATTAAATCATGCCAAACATTCTCTGGTTCCTGCAAATAAATGTGAGTATATAATAATCTCAGCACATACCACTCATGTCACGATGGACGGATGACTCCAGACTCCAGACATCGTGGCACCTGTCTCTCGGACATTGTGGAAATCCTGCGTTGTTGAACTCAAATTCATCCGTTGAATCTCCTCCGTCCTCCAACTTGATGTCAGATTCGAGCTGCCACGACTGCCGGTCTCCTCTCCCGTCTGCAGAGCTCATAAATGGTCTTCCTGTCCCCCCCAAAGAATCAAAATGGTGTTCAGTAATCTCTGTACTAGAGTTTAAATCTAGCGGGACACTTCCTGTCCTATCAATGGAGTTAGGGTGACACTCTGCCATCCGTTCTGGAGAAACAAAATAGGGCCCTCCCACTGACCTCCGGCCCAACACGGCGTCCATCTCCGCAAAGTATTTAAAAGTGCACGGCTGCGAGCTGTCGACGCTCTTCTGCAGTTTGGCTCTCACATAGTTAGCCTTCAGAGTTTTGACCCGTAGCCGGCACTGGTGTGGACTTCGACTGAAACCCATCTCACTCATGCGGGCTGAGAGGTGTTTGAAGACGTGGCGGTTGCGGAGGGTTTCCGCCAAGCTCTTCTGGACGCGCTCGTTGCTCCAGGCGCACAGCAGCACCTGCGTTTCCTCCACCGTCCAGTTAACAGAGCGCTCGGCCTCTCGTTTCCCTGCACGTACACAAACACAGCTGAGTACAATGACAACTGAACATAACTGAACGTAACTCTTATGCCACGTTCAAAAAAGTTATCACATATAGAAGTTTCCAGCTTGTAAATATTGCCAACATCGACATTCAAGTCATAAATATGATGGAAAATCTGATTTTTCTGACTTAACGCTTCGTAACACAGAACTTCCTGAAAACCATGCAAACATGGGCGCCTTGCGTCAGCAAACGTCTCATGCAAATTAAATCCAAATTAAATGGGTACAGTATTATATTGATCATACACAGTGTGGTAACTCTCACACAACCAACTGAGCTGTCCTATGATGTTATTGCTTGCAAGTCACAACCATGGGAATCTCCCCAATCTTTCCCATCCATGCCATATGACGTGAATGCAGCGTAAGCACATTGCATGCAGGTTCTGGGATATTGGAATATAGCATCAAATAAAAAGTGAAAGCTACACACTGATTCAGTATAATAAATGTATTTCTATAAACACTGTTGCAATCCCAATCAGACTGATGAAGATACATTTAGGATTAAACTGTTGGAAAGTTAACTATAAATAAATAAAGTATCTAGCTATCTATCTATCTATCTATCTATGTAAATTTGGAAAAGTTAGAGTCACTGTGCAAGTGTTGCTTCTCTACAGGTACAAAACTTCAGGTAATTACCAATTTATTAGGTACATCTAGCTAAAAACTAATGCAGTCCAACATGTTCTAACATCTTAACGAAGGTTATAATTTTAAAATGGGGTGTTGTTTATGGCACTTTTGAATTGTGCAGTCATATACTGAGAAGAGTTGTTTTGTAAATGATATAAATTAAGTGGACAAAATACTAGTAACGCCTCTCAGTAAGATGCCACACAACAACACCTTGTTAAAACAGTTTCAATTGGAATTACTGCAGGATTACTGTGTTAGATTGTGTTAGTTTTAGCTCTGCGTACCTAATAAACTGAGTGTATATCACTGTCTGAACTGTAAGTGGGGATGTAACCACATCAATGATACATAACTCTTTTCAAATGTGATCTTGGATTCAGTGAAACACCCAGAAAATGAACCCACTGCACATTTAGAGTCCACAGGCTGAGAATATCACTAAGCAGGAGACTGCAGGTTTTCTGCTCATCTCACTAATGAGGAGACAAAACAAACTAGGGGGAAAATAATATGCAAATTCATCCCAGACTGTGAAGTCTGTCAGACTGACGTGTGCTGTAAAGCTGCAGACTTTGGGTCACAGTGAGTCGTGACTGACAACAATGAATTCAGTCCTTATAATCTTAGTTTTTGGAGCAGGGTGTAGTTTTTTTTTCACCTTCTGTATCCTCAGCATGACAGCTAACTATGCAGTAAAATAAAGGCTGACTCAGCTATTTAATCTCCATTAATAACTGGGTGTGCATGTCTTTGCAGCAGTAAGGGTGTAAACTTACCAACAAACTTACAAACTGGCTTGATCAACATATGAATTATGCTATTAATTCGGCAGATATGGGTTCATGAGTTTGAATTTTAGTCCATCGTTAGCAGAGATCATTAATCATGTTTGCTTGTTAGCCAGAGAGCAGGTTGCTAGCTCACATTACCACCTGAAAAGTTGAGGGCTAGCCAAGAAGCTAATTCAAACACAAGCGATATTAATGCTAACATGACAACACGTAATATAGTTTAAAAGGCTCGAGGTGTTATTGTGTAAGTAAGGCAATTAACAAAGAACTGTTCACCGACTCTCAAACTAAAGTAAAACCAAACCAGAGAGCCAATTCTGTCATCAGTGGGCTAACAACACTGCAGCTAACGTCAGCGGCTAACAGCTAGCTGACCAAAGCTACATGACTGTTAGCCCGATTCTGACTCTCTGCTGTCCGATAAACAACAAATAAAACATGTCGCTTGCTCATAGGCGTCTCACTTCTTGTTGTTGAGACGGAGTTGGTGGAGTTGATCATCGGAGGATTCATCTCGACGAGCTGCAACAAATGTAAACAATCCTCACACGCCGACACTCCTCTCTTCCGGGTTCAACGCGTCACGTGATACCCCTTAGTTTCAACGATGCACCAGTTAATGCAAAACATGTTAAAAAACCGAGAAACTCAATCACACATTGTGCTGAAAATGAATTACAGATATTTTAATGATATATTGCACTAAATTGCAATATTTCAATCCACCCTGTAAATTTACAAATCCTATATTTTTTTAATCTCCTTTTCATGTAACTGTATCTATTGAGTTTAACATCACATATTAATTCCTTTTTAAATGAATATGCAGTATATAAATTATCATGATGAAGCTTGTTGTGCAATATCCTTTTAAAGTTTTAGGCACTCAATGTAAAGTGAGGACGCTTTCAAAAATAATGCCGTGAATAGTTTTTATTAATCAGTTAATCTGATACAAAGTGCAGTAAAGAGAAAAAAAACACCTAAATCAAATCAATTTCCTACCACGCTCTCCCTTTAAAACAGACACAGTTCTCCTCAGTGCACCTGCACGCAGTTTTTCAAGGTATTTGGCAGGTGGGTCGTTCCAGCATCTGCCACAGTTCCTCTGTGGATTCAGTCTGTCTCTTCATGTGAGCCCAGGCTGACTGTATGAGGCTGAGATCAGCAGCACATCTGTTTCAGGACTCCCTGCTCTTCTTGTCTCTGAAATTTTTTACGAGTGTGACTGCGTGTTTTGTCTCACTGTCACTGATCAGACGCCTCTCTGATGGTACGATGCATGATGCAGCTAAAACGTGGTGATTAGGCAACTTACACTGTATGTTAAGGTTAAATTAATAAATATTAGAATCAAAATTATTGTTTATTCAAAATTCAAGCACAAGACAAGAGGCACAAGTTACTGTACGAAAGATCAAAAGCACTGGGGGGAGGGGGGGTGGGGAGTGGGGGTTAAGGTGCATGTTAAATATTTCTGAGCTGTGTTCACACAGACAAAAGCACTGCATGAAAAAATGCAGCCAGATCATTCATTTCAATGAGACAGCAGTTGGCACAGTGGGATTCCCACATGGAGCCCCGAGGCCAGAGAACAGGGTGGTACAGTAAGAAAAAAGGTGAAGCAGCTCTGCCTCTGCCACAGCACAACCACATGTCATCCAGCAGGAAACACAGTCAAATACATCTACGTGCACATTCCTGTACTTTGTACTATGTGAATAATATAATTGCAGTCATCCAGAGTTGTAAAATCCTGTTTTTATAACCATCACTACACACAATGGCTTTTTCTTTTCTCACTAAAAACCCGTGGACAGCAGTTTTATTGCCAAACTATCAGGTTAGCGCCCCCTAGCATGTGGGCACGATCGCATCTTAAAATAAATGTGTGTTTGTTAACAACAGCGTGGAACAAGTGATATGAAATGGCAACACCATAATTACTGGCGGCTTATTAACTTTGTTTTTTATGTGCAAATTTAATACCTACAACAAATCTACAGTAGATATGAGACATTTTAAGAACTTATTTTCCTTTATTTTAATTTCAGACTTTTTAATGACCTGTGGGAACCCTGTAATATCCACCAGAGACAGAATCCAGCTCACACTTGGCATCAGAACAACTTTGAAATGACCAAAACTGTCATGAACAGACAAAGAGGAAGAAGGAGCAGAATAGTGGGAACAGTCTTTACCACACTAAATAAATAAGTAGTATAATCACAAGTCCCCGACATCCTCAGAATGTGGATTAAGCAATCATAAGTTTCCTCGGTGCATTTTGAGTTCAGTCACATGTTTCGACGTGTCTGCTTATGATCGGATGCATTTTACTGCCAAGTGTGAGCGCTTGACAGTAAATGCATCTCAGCTTTGAATAACAAGAGGGACGGATGCAGAGGAAACAGCTCCTAAAGAGGCTGCAAGGTGTTAATGAGTCGTCTTGTGCATTCTCCGAATGTCTGTTGAGAGCGTTAGGACCTCTGGTGTCCCTCCTTCTGTGTCACTGGTTCACTGGTTCACCTCCTCAGTCTTTCATCCACAAACACAGCAATTAGTAAAAGAGGGAGGGGGAAGGGTGGGGTGGGGCTCCTGAATTGCTGCTAATGCAGATTCAGTCTGCTCTCATGCCGTTACATTTGCATGTCGAGCTTCCAGCCTTTGTTCTGTAATACAGTGACTTGTGATGTCTGTCTGTGTTGCAGCGCACGGTTTATGTGATGGTTTGTTTAAAACAATACTAAGAGAGGATACTCAATTTCTTCTGTATTTTTAATACTCGCTTCGTATTAGCTTAGCGCAAAGACTGTAAGCGAATGGGAAAGTGCTAGCGTAGCTTACTCAAATGTGGCGTCCAGTTAATAAATGATCAGATTTGGTTTAATTATAATCATTTTGTTAGTCTGTCGTTATAGATAGACTTTCTTGTTTTTTGTTTTTTGTATCTTGAATACAACAGTGCTCATTCTAATGTGGCAACTAGCATACTAGCTAACTAGATAATGACAAGTAAATAAGTCAGTTTGGGGGTTGGAAAAAGTATCGCAAAGTGATTTACAGATATTCATGAATTAACAGAAGGCAAATTTTTCACATTATACAATGACTTTGAAGACAGTGTAAAATCTCGTCTAAAAGTCGCCCATACATGACGAGATAAAGATAAAACTGATTCTGTATCGTGACCTATTTTGAGAAATGATCTCCAAATAGAGAATTGCATTTGCTCCTGGAGTTGATGACGACAGACGAACTCGACTGCTGCAGAAACAGGAACTCTGACCAAACCAGTACTGTGCACATGCTGTGGGGGAAGCTTTAGGGGAATACAACATGAAAAAAGTCCTCTCGTCATAATGGAAGAAGGGGTCCACTGTTGAGTGGAGGTCTCTCCACCCACAGAAAAAAATTCACAACCAGTGACCTTTAAGAAACTTCAAGCAGAACTTTCAGCCACATGATGAGCCAAGTTTCACTTTTGGATCTATTATCTGTCTTCCAGAAACCCCACACTGCAGGCGTGGGACTTTCTACTGGCACAGGAACTATCTGGGTGGAGTAATACTGGATGTTACACTGGTTTTCACTGGTATCGATATTAAGAGACCTGAGAAAGAAACGTCTGTACGCCTCTTCATGTCTCATTTCCAGTAAATCACACAGAACAATACAATGACTATTTTGTTCTTTTATCCGGTTCCAAAATCCCAGTTCAAACGAGACTTTGTAATGTGTTCATGGTCGCAGCTGTTTGATTGTAGTGGAAACACAAAAATGAATACGCTAACGGCACTTCCTGTTTCTGTGCTGGAGTTTAGTCCCTGAAGCTGTCCCACAGATTTTGGGACAGAAAGGCCCCAAAAGAAGGAGAAATGTCAGTCTGGTAATTTGTGAAATTCAAGATGAATCTCTGGACAAGTTCTGATCAACGACCCAACTAACTAGTACTCCGGGGCATTTAGCACAACAGGCCTAAAAAAAAGTCTGATTTTGTAGTTTCAGTCCTGGAACTATAGCGAGACCCTGGAGCCGCCGGCTGAGATAAAGGTTCCTCTTCACAGCACAGTGCGCACACACACACACACACACACACACACACAAACACACACACACACTTTAAATGTACAAATGATGAGCCCACCACAGCATAGGTAATTACAGAGGAGGAGGGGAGCCGAGACAGTCGACTGGACATTCATCTCATTACTCACGCATCCCCTCCAGGCTGTTCCCCACTGACCTGCAGAGGAACATCGCACACTCTTCTCTCTTAACACACACACACACACACTCACTGGCAAGTCTCTGAAAAACACACCTGTACAATCAATTTGATGCAGATTTCCTAATTACATCACTAACAGCAGTAAGTGGCCGTATTATTATTCATGAAATGCTCGTTTAGAGAATGGGAATAACATTCTTTGCATATTTTTTTTACAACTTAGACTATGAGCTGACCCCTCGGCAACCTACAAAGTGTGAGCAGGAAAAGGATAAAGGGAGGATTCCTGAGGGACACATCAATTTTTGCGGGGGAAACTGTGGTGCTGCGAGGTTCAAACCTGGAATCTGGCTAATTAATAGTCTGAGTTCTCTTGATCTGTGCACCCAAAACAAAAGAGCCAGGCTTACAAAATGCGACCTGGGCCTTAAATGAATAACTACAGAGGCTGTGCTGTCTCCTCTTCGCGTCTTGTTTCCTGTCCTCAAAGGGGGCTAAGTGCGGGGGGCGCATACTAACTTATGACTTTCTCTTTGTTTATCTTCAGGCGCTGGGTCTTCTCCCGGTGAGACTGGCGGTGCAGAAAACCAGGTCAGCGAGCACACGGCGAGGTGAGATGAGCTACAGACGGTTCACACGCTGGAGACGGTTACGTCAGCTGAGGCAGGAGCAGAACTGAGGTCCCCCACTGTGGAGGCCCAGGATCCCTGCCTGCCGTGCTGCTCTTTGGCGTGGCTCCATCCTCCCCCCCCCCGCCCCCCACTCTCCTTTCATGTCTCCTGACAACCAGCAGCAGCAGCCGTGTTGTTTAGATCAGTGATTCGCAAACTTTCACACCAGACGCAAACAAAGACTCGACATGGGAGCTGTGCAACAATTCGTGGAATTTGTGGGTTTTTTCCAGCTTTTGGCCTCTGAGGAATCAAAGTGATGTTGGTGATGAACTGGAGCACTCGTTCGCAAGTGCTCCTGCACACTCACAATCTCTGCAGCACATGATGACATTTTATTCACTTATTTTTTTTTATTATTATTTAAATGCAAAATTCTGATGTCCACATTCCTCAAGTCAAAGCATCAACCATCCCCCATCCGTTTGAAGTAACAAAAAAATAAAACACTTGTGCAGCTTGACTTGTAGACGCAGTAACTTTGACTTTTGTTGCTGCTCAACAGTGAAAAATACAAACTTGTTTCTGAAAAGCTCCATATTTTGTAAGAAAAACACGTTGTTTTTCTTAAGTTTATGTCACGTTCATGTCTTATTGCATCGACCATAATTAGAGGCAGCCGAGTAGGGAAACCCG